TCGAGTAGCTTAAAGAGGCGGGTGGGATTCAAGTCGGGAGAATTACTATCACTCAGTAGTACGTAGCGTATCAGTTATCTAGTAGACTGACTAATGGACTGACTTATTGATTTAAATTTCCCCAAGATGCACAGCCCCTTCAGGCCGACAGTTCCCCGGCGTTCCGGCGGGTAATCCTCGAACGGCGCGCATTGGCCACCACTAGATAGATGTGCCCACAGGTTGACTTCAAGAAAACTCCCTACACAGACGCCGTAATATGGTTTGAGTGACGGTGATGGAGTATACATCGGGAACCGTAATTGCCAACGTAAGGTCGTGTAGACTGCAGCAGCGATATCGAGTGTTCTTTTCTTGCCCTAAGTGCAGGTAGCCGACAAGTTTGCCTGGAGGCCTGAGGGTCCTAGGGTCCTAGGGTCCTAGGGTCCTGGGTCGGAGTGGGGTCAGGGATTAAGTGCAGGTGGATAGAGGGCTTCATTGGTAATGAACGCTAGACTGGTACATGTAGGCCAGGTACGTAGTGTAGTTTAGCCTACCTGTAAGGCCAGATGTGCACGCTCCTAAATAGGTATTGTACTGGATCTCGGGCTCACTCCGGGCGGGGCCTAGCGGGGCCCGGGTGAGGCGCCGCATTTTCCGACAGCCAAGTCGCTTGGCAGTAAGGGGTTGGTTAGTTAGGTGTCTCGTGGGTTCGGCCCGGAGTCTGATCGATATACATGGTGGATGGGCCACAAACTCTCCTGTGCCTCGGCTTTCAAGTCCCATGAGGTGAGTCCACCTCACTCGAACCTTTTGTATGACAAGATCCAAGCCGCCAGGCACGCACATCATGGTCCAGCAAATCGTCGTTCTCCGCTAAGTCATGGTGATGGGGTTGAAGACGATTATATCTTCATTAATGGAGGATCATGATTGACTTGACCAGTGAACCCCCGGCGCACATTATTTCAGACCCCACAGCACATTAGAGTCTAGTTATTGCTTAGGCATCGCAGTTTGACATGACCGCCGGACCCTGCTGCCTTGAAAATCGCGCAGTATGGGTGGGTCCTTGCGCGGAGTTGACAACTCTTGACTACCTAGGACCGTTATAGCGTAGCACCGAGCCAGGGCGACCAACAAGAAGTCTCCAATCCAGAGCTAGAGAGCTGGAGTGAGACAAATCTAAGACATGAAGCAGCAATTATCATCCGAGGAAAATGCGGTATTAGCTTGCATTCGCCGGTGAGGGAGACTTTCGAGTCACTCTCGACACCTCTTGCCCGTCGAGAACAAACAAGGAAAATGCGTACAGAACAGCATAAAAGGCTCCGTTTACCCTCCCCGCTGTACTTCCGTGCTCTCCTTCCATTGCATCTCATTCTCACCCTCTGTTCAATCTCCCGCACTCTGCTCCATGTTGGTGTCTGAAGCACGCCTTGCTCGTTTTTGTTGTTTCACAATTTTGGGCACCTCCCTTTGCTGGCTCTATGTTGCTTATAAAGGCTTCGATCCTGACGTTAAATTTATTCTCTGGACTATCGTCGGCCCAGCCTTCTACGCCACCTTCGGATGGCAATGGCGTACAGTGGAGTGACGGGCAGCGGCTGCCTGATTACTGGTTTGCCTACGATCTCGATGACGCCGAAGCCTCGGCTGTCCCCGTCCTCGAGGCGGCTTACGAGCAAACCACCAACACGATCATCAATAAATTGGCCGTCCGTGAGCCCGTCCAGGTCTGTGAAAGCACCCTCTCCCGCATGGCCCAGTGCGCGACTATTGCAGGGGCTGTTTTCAGCTGGAGCGCGGCGATTGCAGGGGCGGCCTGGGCGTGGTCCCAACATAAAGATTGCAGCCTCCACTCTGGCACGATCGACGGCTGGCAGTACGAGTTCCATGCTACCGGGCGCAATTGCGACACCACCGCCCAGCAGAAGACCATCCAGGGTGCCATCTACCACTATCTTGCCGCGATCGAGGGCAACACTGTCTGCGGCACACAGTGTCTGTCACTAAAGCACGGAGGCAGCTATGCCGGCTACCTGAAGTTTGGCAAGGTAGGCGTCTTTGATTCCGGCGCCTACTGTGGCCCAACCCTACATTTCGAAAATTGTGCCTCGGGTGGTGTGAACAGCTTCTAAAGGGGTCTTTTTCCTTGTTCCCGTATGTTCATTAGAGCTGGAAGAGAATAATGGTGGTAAAAGGTGACAGAATGAGAGAGGAATTCAAGATGGTTGGTCTTGTGGGGGTCGGTCTGTTTTGGAGAGACTAGAAAGGGGCTGTGGTGGAGTTGTGTTCTCGATAGTGAAGGGTCCTTAGGGTCCAAATGTGACAATAGAGCATTCAGCGGTACTCTTTCTTGCACAAGCTTTTGGGAAAGCAAACTACTTCTCCAGTGGAGAGCACAGGACATAGTAGTCGAACTCTCAATGTAGGGTGAACCCTACATCATCACTACTGGGGTGTAGACACCCATTCCAGGCTGTTTGAACATCACGACCTGCTTCAAGTATTCGACATAAACTCCATAACTGTAGCATTTTGATGACAAGTCAATAATTCGACGGCGATAATAAAGTTCCTCTCCATAGTCCAGATCTAAGAATTGAAGCTCTACTTTGGAGTCATGTCGAATCAAGTAACATAGCAACAGCAGTATATAAGGGCAATCGGACCCTGAAAGTAAATCACCAAGGCTTCATTATCATGCAAAAAACAATGAGAACTCTTTCTATCTCCATGCAGCATTGCATGCTTATCAACCCAATCATTGGGTTACATCTCCGATACCAAGGATGACGTGATTCACCACCACCATGGCGCACCAGCAAGCGTAATTGCTATATAATCAACTTGCATAGACTAATATCTCTTCTCTCCAGAAACTTCTTACCGCACACATCACCATGGCGCCCAGTCCACCCCAGTCCACCCCCGAGGAAGCAGCCAAACAACCCACCGCCCAAATCAAAGATGAATCCCACGACGGCGCCCTGCAACTCCTTGCCGCCAACAGCAGCGCGACCAACCTCGACCAAGAAACCGCGCGACGACTTGTCCGCAAAATCGACCTCTACATCATGCCGCTAATCTGCATTGTCTACTTCCTGCAGTACCTCGACAAGATCGCCATCAGCTACGCCAGCGTCACGGGGCTGCGGGAATCGGCCCACCTGCACGGCAACCAGTACAACTGGGTCTCGAGCATCTTCTTCTTCGGACAGCTGGCGTTCAGCTTTCCCACCGTGCGGCTCCTGCAGGCCTTTCCTCTGGCGCGCTACGTCGCCGTCAATGTGATCCTCTGGGGCGCGATCCTCGCCTGCATGGCGGCGTGCCACTCGTTCGCGGCGCTGATGGTCTGCCGTACGTTCCTGGGGGTGGCCGAGGCGGCAATCGTGCCGGCGTGGGTGGTCTTCACCTCGCAATGGTACAGAAAGGAGGAGCAAGCGTTTCGGGTCGGGGTGTGGTTCGCCATGTGCGGGTTCGCGCAGATGTTCGGCGGGTACATTGCGTACGGGATCGCGGTGCATATCGGGGATAGTGCGGCGCTGCGCGGGTGGCAGATCATCTTCCTGGTGCTGGGTGGGTTCACTGTGCTCGTGGGTGCGGTGTTTCTCTTCCTTCTACCGGATTCGCCCGTCACGGCGCGGTTTCTGTCCCCCGCGGAGAAGGCGCTGCATGCGGAGCGGCTGCGTGGGAACGAGCAGGGCATCGGAAGTACAGTCTTCAAGAAAGCACAGGTCGTCGAGGCGCTGACAGATCCCCTGACCTGGTTGTATGCCTTCTGGGTGTTCGCGGCCAACGTGCCCAATTCGATTGCCACGAGTTTCGGGAATATCCTTGTGACCGGGATGGGGTATTCGTCGCGGCAGAGCTTGCTGCTGGTCACGCCCTTGGGGGCGTATGAGGTTGTGGTGTTGGTTGGGTTGACGTATCTCAGCATGAGAACGGAGCAGAGGCTGGTTTGGTGTATCATCGGGCACATACCGTCGATTGTGGGTGCGATCCTCATGGCCACGACGGAGAAGACCCCCGCGTTGATCGGGTACTATCTCTCCGGCGGCATTCCCATCGGATGGACGACGATCCTGGGTCTGACCAGTACGAACGTGGCCGGGTCGACCAAGAAGATCACCGTCTCGTGCATCCAGACCGTCGCCTACACGGTGGGCAATATCATCTCTCCGCAGACCTTCCAGGCCAAGGATGCACCGCGGTATCTCCCCGCCAAGATCTCCATCGTCGTGCTGTATGTGCTGATCACGCTGGATCTGTGTCTCATCCGGTGGGTGTCGGTGCGCGAGAATCGAAGGCGAGACGCAGAGAAGGAGGCCGCGGGCGAGACGTATGTTGTGCAGCAGAATCATGAGTTTATGGACTTGACAGATCGGGAGAACCGCGAATTCAGATATGCCATCTAGTCTGATATAGCCTGATGTCAGTTCGCAGTGTCACTTGGTCCTGATGAGTCTTGGGTGTGATATGCCAGAACATGGTTCTTGATCCCTGTGGACATGGCTATATGCACATCACTGATCTTGCTGTCTTTGTGATTACTTCTTCGCAATCTCTGGCAGGCTTCTGACTCAGCTGTCTCAGCTTTCATCGATATTCACTGCCTAACATGTTGAAAAACTGATTTCACGGAACGTTCTAGCCTGGCTGAAATACCCCGTATAGAATTAAAACTTTCTCCGAAGCTATTCGGGAAATAATCTGAATAGGTTTCCAGACGTGAGCTGACGCGCCTCTGCTGGACTACCTGTGAATAACTTCAAGATATCAAATCACGTGCAGCTAGGGTCACGTCTATATCTTCAGACCTACAGTTCAAGACTTTCTTCGTCTTTCCTTCTTCCTTCCTTCCTTCCTCCTTCCTTCATCCACTTCACACTATCTCTCATCCATACCCTCCCACTTTTCTCCATCTCACACGGTCTTTCATCCATCTCACACTATTTCCCATCCAACTCACATCATCAAACACACTCTTCTATCCACTGTGATCACCATCCGTGATTATGCATCTTTCCGAACTCCCTGCGGAGGTCCTCCTCAATATCGGGACACAGCTTGGGGATGATGGCCTGAGCCGACTCCTCCGTACCAACCGCTGGTTTCACAACTTCTTTGGGGATGAGATCTACAAGATGCACGTGCAGAGGACCAAGGGCATCGCGCTGCTCTGGGCCGCGAACCGTGGGGACGAGATGCTGGTGAGAACGTTCCTCGACTGTGGCGCCAACCCTAACGTGGGCTGGGGTCCCCGGGTCCCCGGCCAGGGAGACTGGGCGCTGCGTACCGCCGCGCGCTCCGACCTCTACTGGCGCCCGGATGGCAACCGCACCCACTTGACCCCCCTGACGTTGGCCGCGCAGAAAGGCTACCTGGACATTGTCAAGCTCCTGCTTGCGTACGGCGCCGACCCCGGCCGCCACAACCGCGAGCATCAGACCGCGTGCCTGGCAGCCATCACGGCGCTGATCGAGAAAGCCCACGACGGCCGCCAGTACCACAACGCGTGGGACCGGCTGTCCAACTTCAACCAGCCGCGCCGGCCGCTCGACCCGCAGCTGCTCGCCGTCGTCGACTTTCTCATCCACTTGCCCGACGCCATGTACGGCACCCACGGCTACCGCGTGCTGAACCTGGCGCTGCAGTGGCCCGACCAGGACCTGGCCGTCTACATGCTCCGCGACGAGCAGCTGCAGGCCTCGTTCTGTGAGCAGCCCGGCTCGCAGTTCGAGCACCTGCTCCGCCACGCCGCCCTCTACCACCGCGTCGCCTTCGTCGACCACCTGCTCGACGTGGCCTACGCCAACTTCCACGTCCACGAGTGGGGCCGCCTGGCCCTCATAGCCCGCGACGCGACCCAGGAATACTTCAGCCATGCTATGGGGCACTACTTCCTCATGTACAAGTATGTCGCCTTCTTTCTTTTTTTATGCGTCTGGATCTGTGTCTGGGTGTATGTGTCCTGGTGGTGGCTGTGATGGTGAGGGACTTTCGGGAGCCTGCGAGTTGACTGAACTGACTTTCGTTCCGGCCAGCTTTCACCCCACCAGCGCCGTCTGATTTTGCACAGTGATGACACAGGAGAACACAGCCTGGGTTGAACTCTCATCTGGATTGTAGGAAAAGACAATCTCAGGTTGGACTGTTATCATCTCGTCGGGCAGCCTGGTTCTCGATGTGTCTTTCAGTAAGGAAGGTATGTTTGGCAAGCCCACACGCCTTGACATGATGACATGAAGGCGGAAGCTGACTCGACCTCGCTACTGGTCACTAGGACGAAGACACTTGAAAACCTTCTATTCCATGGGACGACAGGAAAACACAACCACGGTTGGACTGTTGTCACCCCATTGACCTGATTCTTAGTTTGTCTTTCAGTCAGTATGGTATGTTCGACAAGTATATCCCCCCGAGAGATGATGACATGAAGGTGTAGCTAACTCGGTCTTGCCACTTAGTACTAGGAGGAAAAACTCGAAAAGCCTTCTATTCCACGAGACGACAGGGAAACACAACCTCGGTTGGACTGTTGTCACCTCATCGTCGAGCTGGTTCTCGCTGCTGGAGGGATACAGAGATTGCTGAACGTGATTTTGCTTTAATACTTGATTGATGTTTTTGATATTCTTGAGATTGATTCGTGTTCTTGAGATTCCTGAGATTGGTTTATGTTTTGAAAAATGACTTGAAATGTGTTCATGAATTATGAAAAGGGGTGGAAAATTATCATATCACCAGAAGGAGGTGTTCCAGAATGTGAATATCAGGGAAATGAAGCTTGTGTTTTTCTACTTGTGCGTGCGATTCTGCATATCTAGCTTTTGCGTAAACGGTGCAGACATAAGCAATTGCTGGTACTGGTTTTGTAGATGTTGTAAGCGGTGCACTGAGAATTATATAGTAGTTATTTTCTACATGCTGGGTATAAAAAGATTGGTGTAAATGTTGTCTTTGTCAACTATGTACTCTTATATAGAGAGGCTAGGCATGTGCGGTCCAGCACACTGGCAGCTGGCGGCATAAGAGATGCGGACATCGCAGTATTCCCCCAGAAATTAGTTTCCCAGTGTACTGCTTTAGCATGTTCTAGGTGTTTGAGCATATTCGTATATAATCTTGATACGCATAGCCTTACCTTTATTATGTGCGAACCTTTATTCTTTTCTGTTGTCACAAATTGCTTGATACGACGTCGACTGCATGACTGGAACCATAAGACGATCCAGAAAGCAAGGTAAAGAGCTAATCGAAGCTAAGCCCTCACTTTACTGGCCGTATTACAGTGTTATCTACTATACTGAACCTTGAACACCGATATTCTTGTTGCTTGTCATGACAACAAGGCCATGTGATTTCAGGGGAACAGCGGAATACTGGCCTGGACTACATTTATTTGCAAGCTCAAGAGAAAACAACAAGAAATCTAAAATCGGGTGGGGAAGGAACAGAAGTACTGCAGCTGTTGGACATAGGCCCAGACTTGATCAGTGGGCTAGCTAGATGCAAGGAAAAGGGAGGGCAAGGTGCGCAGCCGAAGCCGGTGTAAATCAACCCCGACGCGTCTCCCTGGCCGATTTATATCAACTCCGAGGCAGCAGCACCACCATAACCTACATTCTACCACGTGTCATCGTTTACACACAGAACGACAATGGATTTAACAGCAGAAGCTAACTTAAACCATCACCCACGAATAGTATATACACGCATTCCCCAAAACCACCCCGATCTAAGCAACAGTAACCGTCTGATTCAAAACCTCCAAGTAAGGGGCCGCGGACGCCTGCATCATGCAACGTTAGCATTCTGATCAGTTGAAATCTATCATCAGAAAAAGAATGCTTACCCCGACCAAAGTAGCATGCGCCACCCCGATGACCGCCTGGCCCGCCGCCGCCGACGCGGGCACTGTGACGGTGAAGTTCTCGTACGGCGGCAGGTAGTATTCGTGGTAGACGGGGTTGAAGGCGCCGTTGTAGAGGATGGTCCCCATGTATTCGTCGGCCGCGTAGCAGTTGCCGCTGGCGCAGGACTGGAAGCCGATGGCGACGGCCATTTCTTGGGAGCCAGTGATGGTGTTCTACCGCTGTTAGGTTTGCGTATCGGGGGGAGGGGGTAGAGGGGGATTAAGGGGAAGAGGAACGTACCGGCCGCTGAACTTGGACGGTGAGGCTCTGTCCTGGCTGAACGGTCTGGCCGGCCTTGGGGAGGCCGATGGCGGCGTTCTGGGCCAGGGCGGTGCCTAGGAAGGCGGCTGCTGCGGCGAAGGTCTTCATTGCGATGGGTGAAGGGATGGAAGAGGGGTTAAGGTAGTTGTTTCTGATGATGATGGTGATGGGTTGGATTGCAGCGGCAGCAATGTTGTGGTAAATACACCCAGCTTTATAGGACTGGTCATGACAGCATCGCTGAGATGCAGAGCCCTGCGATGGCGGCCTGATACCGAAATAGATCAGCTTGAGACATCGGATGGATACAGATGCGTTGTCATTGGTGGTGTTTGGGAGATGGAGACTAGTGGACGTCGATCAGTGAGCTACTGGACCCTTGTGGGAAAGTGAGATGGATCGCTGGTGGCTGCAGCCCCGCGGGAAGGCATCAGAGGTTAGGGGGCAATGCGGAGGCCTCCCGGTAGTTCCGGGAGGCTTGAGCTTGTTTTCTCGGTTTGTTCAATACAACTTCTTTTGTGTTGGCTCTTGTTGTTAAATCAGACAGGCATCAATGGACTGACTGGAACTATTGATCTAAACTGCAAGTCAAAAGGATGGATTCAAGAAGCTATAGAGAGTGTTTTAGGAGCTAGCACTAACTAGCTAGTGCAACGCTGTTAACATGAAAACGGGTCGTCCTTATGTGGATGATGTATGGAGTGGAACAAGTATATATCTGACACATCACATCACATGACCGGGTTGAAGAAGCCGGATTCCCCCCCCAGAACCGAGTAGGTAACTAGACACCTCACAAATGTCTTACAACGTAGTCTGCTATGCGATATCAATACGAAGAGAACGTCAGCAGAAACTTAACATACTGATATCTGTCTGACGGCATTGTGACTCTATATATACCCCGGGCTGTGCTTTGAACTCTATCCATCTTAAGGCCGCCCACCGCGTCCACGGAACACCTACCAAGCAACCAACCAAGCATTCGCCCCATCTTAGTTTTCTCCCCGTTCGCATGCGGAAATACCCTCCATCCTCTAGAAGAGGCACACCTCGGACTTTACCCCGCGAGCATACCACCTGACCCGAGAGAATCCTCCCCCGCTGACTTCATGCTCTCTCTTCTGCTCCGGTCGGGCCGGATTGACATCAACCTGCAGCAGCATGACATCAGAGCATGGCCAAATGCTGTCTGCTTACCCCCCTCATTTCACTCAATTACCGTTACACTGGAGATAAAAAAAAATCAGAGAAGAGTATCCGATCTTATAATATATAATCATAATCATAGACATATAGTACATCAGATGCAGCATATTCACAATCATGTCCAAAAGAGAAACGTATATACAGTCCGCAAACTGGGTATTCGCAGAGTCACAGCAACACCATGCAAGGAATGTCGCCACAGGCCCCGGGCCTGCAACGCCAATATGTATAGAAAATAAGGAGAATGCAAAAGAAAAAAAAACGCTAAGTCTATGTTGAGACGGCTAGCAGAAATGATGATGAGAGGGATTCGCTTATTCGGGAGCCGCACAGGTGAAGACTCCACGAACACTGCCTGACTTGTAGTTGTTGACCTGTAGAGTAATCAGCAAGGGAAAGTCAAAACTGAAAAGGGAAATGAACTTACAATATCGTCCACACTGGCGTAGGTGCCCGCTCCGAGAGTGATCAGTCCAATCAACAGACAGATCAGGTTGAGAGCACCCAGCATCATGTTCTTCGGGGTGAACCAGCTGCCCTCGCGCAGGAGCATGAACCACATGAGCGCGGGGAAGTAGAAGGTGAAGCCGGAGACGAAGAGGGCGGAGCAAATGGACAGCAAGTCGGAGAAGAAGGGGATCACTTCAGCGACAATGAAGGCGACTACGGTGATGATGGTGATCACGGCCAACCAGGTGATCCAGCCCATCTTGGTGTTGATGAAGCGGATGGGCGAGTTCTTGAAGATGCGACCGTGGATCATACGACCCAGCACCACCGTGTTGATCGAACCACTGATGAAGATGACGGGGAGGGCGACACCGTAGGCAACACGGCTAAGAGTGTGACCCGCCGAGGTGAGAGCCGGGCTGGCGACGTCCTGGCCAACGAAGGCGTAGATGATCGCACCAGTCAAGGTGTAGATGACAATCTCGATGATACCCAGGGACCAGATCGATTTAATGTAATCCTTGGGAGTGTGCATCTCATCCATGAAGGAGAACTGGCACAGGGCAAAACTGTAGGCGAAGACGATGTTGGTGATGGCGATAAACGCGTCGGTGAAGCTGATGTCATCCTTGGGCCAAGCAGACCAGTTAACTGCCGACAATCCCCCGGGCTGGTTGGTGCTCTCAACACCAGTGCCGATCATAGTGATACCGATTGCGACAATAATCGAGATGAAGTCGATGTAGCCCAGAATGGCCATCTCAGCGAATGAGGGCGGAATGGCCAAGAGAAGCAGGAGGATGGCGGAGACCACAGCAAACACAATGGAACACACACTGCTTTCGGTGATGTTGATGAAGGCGATAGTACCGGTCAGACAGTGCGAGCCAGTCAGAAAAAGCAACTCCAGACCGAGCATGACGTAGATAATCTCGTAGCCAAAACGACCGAACATTAGGCGGCCAGCGTCGGGATAGTGTGCAATGTCGGGGAACTTAAGCTTCACTTGACCGATAAGGTCACTGGTGTAGATGGCAACAAATCCGAGGCCAACCGTGGTGATGACACCGGCCACCATCCCCAGCGTAGCGAAGGCGGAAGGAATCGACAAACTACCCAGGGCAATGGCCTCGACAATCATCACCACCGTCAGGCGTTTCCAACCCAGACGGTTGTATTTTTGGATGCCAGCCTCGACAATGTTCCGCTCCGTGTCGCTCATCTTGTCGACCATATCACCCTCATACTGGGGGGAGTAGATATCCCCCTTCTTCTCATTCTCGAAGTCCATCCCGGACTGGGATTTGCGGTCCCCAACGATGTCGTCACCGTAGGCCATGACGAAAATATTCAATAAATGTCAAACAATCAGAATATAGGTTGAAGGTGGAGAGGGGAAAAGGTGAAGTTGAATTCGACTTTGCCCAGGTCGCACCAAATGCCTGATGGCTGTTGTTGAAGGAAGGGGAGGAGAGGGAGAAAGGATGGAGAGAGGAAGAAGACGAGAGAAGAGGAAGCGAAGGCAGTAGAAAAGTGGCAGGCCAGAGGGAAGCCAAACGGGTTTTGAATAATAATGGGCGGCGACAGCGGGGGGGGGAGGGAAGTGTCTGGGAGGGCTCCGGTGGGAGGAAGGCTGCAGGACCCGCCAGGTAGGATTGATAATTATTCCGCCGTGGTTGCGCTGTGTTGCCTTTCGATTCCTCTCTCTTCCTCGAGTCGATGACCTTCCGGGCCAGTACTGCTGACGGTGGACGATCAGGCTTCACCGCAGCCCAAGCACACGGTCGGATGAATCCGGGCAAGAACTGATACAGTGATAATCCGGATCAGGCAACGGGACCAGCAAACCTTGACTAAGAAGATTTGGTGGCGGAAAGAAGAAATTCGGAGAGTTTGCCAGATTGGCTCGAACTTTTGCCTCCCACGTGGAGCCCAAGCATCCGCCATCCGCTGTTGCAGCCAATCACTCGCAGGGCATACCGTCTAAAATCCTGATTCAGGTTAGGGTGTGTGACGTTGAATTGGAGATGCGGTCGAAAGCGGTCTAGCGCCAACGCTGAGCCAAGATTGACTCCAGGGGCCCCGATTTGCATTAGGCAATGGCTCTGACTAAGTTATTAAGAGGCGGCGCTGGCTGGCCAGTGAGCAAGCAAGCACTGTAACGCCGAACCTTCCCCAGGATTTGTGTCCTGAAAGGATTGAGGCTAAACCCATTCCTCTGTAGTTTTTTGGAGTCGTCACCTTCGATCGACGCCCTACTTGGCACTATCCATCCACTTCGTGGTCGCACAAGAAGTTTAATTGCAGGGCAGGACTGCAGCTTGACACGTCCCCCTGCGAACCCACGCAACCCAGCCTATGAGTAGGATGGGGATGAGTAATGGATCTCACATCATGCGGAATTCTTCCCCATTCGCTTGCAGCTTAACCTTTTAACCTTCAGAGCAGGTCTCACACAAATGAGGGGAAGCGCTTGATGGTCTCGTATTTTGGGGAAGAGCCGGGGCCGTGTCTCCCGATTCCCGATTCTGTTACTTAATGTTTTGCTACGACGCGCGGGAGAGACGAGACGACAAGACGATCCAAGCCAACCTGCAATCTGGAGCGGTGGCTTATCAGTGAAGGCATTACGCAGAAGTGTTTGCCAATTGATATTCGTTTGGTGGTGCGACCGTGGAGCCTGAGGCGGAGTCAAGTCGGCCCGGGTCTTTATTTTCCTCCCTCTTCCTCTCCCTCTCGGCATCTGCAGCCCTTTCGCCGAGGCCGGTCTCCAGGCTGGGCTGTTCAAGGTTTTCTGGAACGGCCGCCAGCGGATCGTCTTTCCATCTTTGCCTGCCAATCGTGCCTCTTGCCAATCTAATAACAACTTACCTATGCACTGTAGCCTTACTGCGCCTTTCCCCGGAGCCGAATCAATGCCGATTGTTTGCCCAACAAGTCAAAAGATAACAACAACATGATTGACAACAGCTCATCTGTAGATCAACCCCTTACATGCCACCGTGCCAGATCAGACTACATACTCTTATCGAGATCATCGTAACGGAGACTAGTCACCGCAGTAGGCTATCACTTGGCAAGAGTCTAATGGCCTGCCCTGCACGGCACGCTGCCAGCACTGCCGAATGTGCTTTGCATGCTTTGCATAGTTGGCACACTTTGCATCTCCTCCTTGCTTGGGAGGCTGACATCACGTGATGCAGACGGAGTTCCGCTTCCTTCAGTTGCCTTGTTGCTTGTTGCTGGTGTTCCCCGCTCGGCGTTCGGGAGGAAATCCCCTCCAACCCCGTTCACGCATCAACCACCACCACCACCACCATTGTCAGACAGCATTGAAGGAGATATTACACATCCCCCCAAAATGTTTCTACTCAGTTCATTCAGGTCATCAAATCTGTAGACAGTCCGTGTACTGGACCGTACCTCTGGTCTGTCATGGACGGGGATTCCGCTTTATCGATTCCGTATGGTCACGCCTGTAGTACGTGTGCTCGGGCCAAGGTTCGCTGCATCCCTCGGGGTCGAGATTCCCCGTGTGAGAGGTGTGTGGAAATCTCTGCAGACGGACGACGGATCAATCCACCGCTAATGTATCCCAGATGTCATCGCTTAGGAAAGGAATGTCGTCCTGGATCGCGCCGTCGCCGTCCCAAGCGGCTTTCCAAGGCCGCTCAGCTGGAGCAGAAGATGGATGGGCTAATGTCTTTGCTCCAATCATCCGGACAGCTGCCGGGAGGACCAAGAGGAGACCGGCATCTTCCCGTCTCCGCTGGTAGTCAAGAGCGCGCGAACCGTACCTGTACAACAAATCCGCTCTGTACTCCCGACACGGGGACGGGGATCGAGTCCGACGGTAGTGTTAGCCCGCGCCACTCTCCGCCCACCGCCATCATCCCGCCCAGCCCAGCGGAAGCCGAGGCAATGCT